ATTAAGAAAATAGTTTTTTAATAAAGATTAAATTAATATAAATATTATTAATAAATATATTATCATTTAAAATAAATTAATAGTAACATTAATTGATACAACTTACGTGAAAGGTAGTAAAAATATTTTCACAAACAGCACTGATATGATAATATAATAGATTAGATAGTATAATAGATTAAAAAATGATATTATAAATATATATTTTATTTTTCTTCAATTGCAAAACATTTTTACTAAATTATTTATTTATTATAATAAATTAAATAAATTTATAATTATCAATAAAATATCATTTATATTTTAAAAAATTTGTTAATTATTTTAATTTTGGATAAATAATAAATATTTATAAATGAATAAATAATAAATATTTGTTGCTTATGATAAATATATACATTTATTGGATTTCAAATTTTAATTATAAAATATTGTAATTTATTTATTATTATTAAATATTTTTTAAAAATTATTTATGTGCAAATATCACACAAACACTTTAAAGAAAAAGAGTAATTGTATAAGATTACTCTAATGTAACATTATAAGTATTTCGGATATGCAAGCATAAAAATTGAAAAGCATTTTATGTGCCAAAAAAATTTTATGTAAAAAATAAAAATAAAATTGTCTATTAATTTCGCAAGTTTGTACATTACGAACAAGTAGCTGTAGAAATCTTGTCGAATAGTCCCGAACACGGTATTTTTTATAACGTCCGATTATAATCGGAAAAAAAAATACTTATTGAAACTGAATTTAGCAAAATTGCAAAACATAAAATATCGATAGTTCCTTTTTATATATACATATAATATATTCAAATATATTATAATGAAATTTGTACATGTCAAATTATGCTCGGTGGTTCAGTGAAGTACAAATAAACGAACATAAAACAGCATAATGCAATTAATTGCAAGACAAACAAAAAATATCTTGATAAAGAAGATACACAAAAAAATTGATAGTGATGATTTTTAATGAATGAAGTACCTTCTCGCACAGTGATTTTACTTGGCTTTCTGTTAGTTGTTGGCAGTTATTTAATTGTTCTATCCATTGGTCGAGTTCTTTCAATGACGCCTTTTCCTCCATCGTACAAATCTACGCGTGAAGTCTACGGATAGCCCGCACTCTTAGCACATGTAATAAAAGTAAAGTAAGTCCGTCTCGTAAACTAAATCATTCGGTTTTACTGGAAAAGCTTTTTAACACAAATATCCCGATCCAGCACACACTCACAAAATGGCCGATTGCGAGTACTGATGGTGACGTCACACTCAATTCATGCGTGCTTCACTAGCTATAACCTGGATTATCATATTGACCAATCACGTTTGGCGTTTATCCTATTTGAACCAATCGCATGTCGATTTTACTCTTGTCACACGTACTATTGTACAACCATGATTGCATCGTTTTAACGACAATGATTATGTTTCTCTTGGAAACATTAGTCTTACAATAATATACAAATATTAGATAAAATTCAATAGAAATAAAAGAAAATTTTAATATAAAATATCTAATGAGATTTTCAAGTTTTATTACAAATTTAATATTATATTTTGCATCTGATTATTTATATTATTATATTGATATAAAAAGTTGTGGAATTTGATTGACAAATAATTAACAACAAAATCTCAAATTAAAAAAATAAATTAAAAATTAAGTTATATTATAAATATTAATTAATATTTATTAATAGTAGTTATTAAATGAAATAATAATTTTCAAAATACAATTATAACTTGAACTTAGCTGCTGATCAAAAAAAAAAAAAAAATAACGGATCAAAATGATTAGTTTTGGAACATATACTATTGTCTCAATTTTTTGTTTTTTAAAAAAATAGTTAATTTTACAAATTCTTGTTTAATGATAATCTCAAATAATTTTGTGCTTCAATTATATTTCAATCATTAAATAATAGAATCAACAAATTTAAAAAAAAATATATTTTAACTAAATATTTATAATATTCTATTAATTAATTTAAAAATTCATTATTATGCAATGAATATTTAAATAAATTTAATAAGTATTAAAAAATAAATTATTTATTATTTATTTAAAGTAAAATATTAATTTTTTTTAATATATATTTATAATTAAGTAAAAAACAAGGTAAAATAACAATAACTTGTTTTTTTAATAATTTTATTTGTTTATTTAATATATAAAGTTAAAATTGCTATTTAAAGCAAAATTCTAACTATATAATTATAATCATTTAAAATTATATTTATGATATTACACTATTTTTATAAAAATATTTTTCTTTATATTGCATCTTATGCTTTTAAAGTTTATTTTTATAATTTTATAATTTTTGTTTTATATATATTTTAATTATAAATTTTATGATTTAAATTTACATTAAATTATATATTTTAAATATTGAAATTTAAAGATTTTTGTTTATGTTAATAAAAATATTTTTTTAAGCATGAGAATATAGAAAAAGAGACAAAAAAGTAAAAGAATAAAATATAAATGACAAAACAAGAGTGAAAAGAAAAAAAAGAAAGAAAATTTTTTTAATTTTGATCGATTATATTTTGAATAATTTATA